GGGCGTCTGAGAGTAGAAGATTGGTTTGGTGAGTGGACTCTTTTTCTGAATTCTTATATCTTAATTTTGTTCCATTGGATTACATAGAAGTTGACAGTAGATAAGTTGAAGTTGTACAAGGGGTTGGTTGTCTATATGAGATGTGCATGATGGTGAATCAAACTCAGTTCAGGTAACTAATTCATTAAGTTAGTTCTCTCCCTTTCTAATTTTTTTAACAACTAAATCTTGTTCTCTTTCTTGTTTGTATACAGAGTTTGCGAAGCAACCAAAGGTCCAAAGTCCCACAAGATATTGGTTCACAAGGACTGGGAGAAGCCTAGAAAGTGTTGAAATAAAACACTCTCTGTAAGGATTTTTTTTTTTTTTCTCTCTCTCAAATCACATGAAATTACTAAGATAAATTTCCATTTCTACTTTTACTGAACTTATTATATTAATCTTCCATTTTAATTTGTCCTGAAATCAAATTGTTTTTTTTTTTTTTTTTTTTGTGTTTTTGTTATGCGGTGCCGGTGTTGATTATGAATTATGTGGCAGTACTCATTTTCTTGGATGGAAACAATTAAAACTAACCAAGGCTTCAAATTATTATCCAAGATTTGTAATCTTTAAAAACATAAATTATAAATTTGAACTCAGAATTTAGGTGCTCAAGTTGGCATCCATTTTTAAAAATGTAATTTGGATTTTGGACACCGATGACAAAGAGCATCTTTTCTGACATAGTCACATCAAGATTAAATTAATTAGGAGCTGACTCTATTAAATAATTTAAAATTTCTGCCACCAACTTGTAAACGGTGGCGATTGTGGCATTGGAGACTGTTAGGTCTTGACACCGAAAACGGTGTGCAATGAAATCAATGGAAACCAATGGGAACGGTGTGGTCTAGCCTGTTTTCTAGTAGTGCAGTCTCAATATCATTTTCAAATGGAAGTTGTGTTTACCCCATCATATACCGGAACAATTTAATTATCATTTCACATTTTCTCATCGCCTTGTCAAGTCGACTTTATCTAGTGGTGACTCACTTGTTTGGTTTGAAGAACCCCCAATGTTATTAGAGAGGTATTACCAAGATATGTACCCTAGTTGATTTCATTCAATAATAATATCAATTCCATTCTTGAAACCGTTGATAAACTTGACCTAATTGCACGTCCAAGTAGAATATTTTACTTTCTAAAAAGAAATAGATAACCATAATTTGACAAAAACGATATATAGCATGTATAATACATGCATGAAAAAAAATATTACTATCTAGATATTAATCTAACAAGACATAAATCGCTTTAGATTAATACTAGCAACATTGTATTAAAATTTTAACCTTCTTAATTAAGTAGCCATTTCAGCTTTTAAAACAATAATACGTAAGTACTAACTGATAACGTTGAGACATAATTAACTAAGAAGCCATATCAGTTTTTAAACGAGTATTAAGAAATCGTTACACATTTTTCAATCTCTTTAATTTGATTCCGGTGCATATCCTGGTCCCTCTGTCATTTACATCAATTCGTGCATGATTCATTCAAGGAAAAACTTCTGAATAGCCAGCAAAAGGCTTCTCAACATTGATACTTAAATCTCGTGTCTTTCACCAGTCCTCCTTTGGAAAAGGTACTAATTGCTACTATTCTATATTCTATTTCCGTTTGGCAACGAAGATTTTTTTTTTTTTTTTTTTTTTTAAGTATTCTATTTATTGATTTTAGTTTTGTTTTCTAAAGAAAAATGTAAACCATCTTATCTTTTCAAGCAATATATCCAATAATTTTGTTCGATTCAAGTTTAGCAACTGTGGATTTATTCTTCTATTTTGATTAGGGCTGGTTCAGTATGGGATACCGAACCAAAAATAGCATATCAAATCCTGAACCGAAAATTTTCGAGATGAAAATCTCATGACTGATCCCGAACCGAAATTTCGGGATTCTCAAAATATTTTCGGTATTTCGGAATTTCCCGAAACCAAACCTGTATCAGAATCCAAATCATCTAAATTGAAATTGAAATCATCCGAACCTGCATTAAAAATCCAAATTGAAATCAAGGACATAGTGATAGTGAATCAGTGAAGATTTATGGTAGAGAGAGACAGAGTGAAAAGAGAGACCTACGTCCTCCTCCTGACCCGAGCCCCCAATTCAAAACCTTAACCTTAATTCGAAATCTCATACACACAGAGAATCACTGGAGAGAATCGGAGATGGGGATGAAGCTGTGAGGTGTGGTGGTGGCCAGAGTAGAGACAGTTCGTCGGAGTGAGATTGTTAGATGGTGAGTGGCTGCTGAGCTTCGAATCCGAGAAAGAGAGAGAGAGTTTGAGACTAAGTGAAGGCAGATGAGAAAGGCAAAATGAAATGAGATAGAGTGAGTAGGGATGTGTCAACTCGGTTTTGGATTCAGTGGAAGGAAGGGTGGTTTCAATTTTGGAGTGAGTAGGGGTGGTTTCTGGGTTGTAGAGGGAGAGAGAGAGAGAGAGAATACGAGAGAGATGAGATAGAAAATAGAGTAATGATATTCATATCATGTTTTTGTACCATATTTTCATACCACCTTATGTGGCATTTGATGTGGACAATCACATCATTTGAATTAATCAGATTTTATAATTTAATTCATTATTTAATAAACTAATAATTAAAAAAAAAAGTTAATTAATTGTTGTATACGAGGAGTCTTTCTCTTTCCTTTCCTTGGGTTTTGCAAATTTTTCAAATGATGTGGCTGTCCACATCAAATGCCACCTAAAGTAGTATAAAAATGTGGTATAAAAACATGATATGAATAGTATTACTCTGGAAAATAAGTGAGAGATAAAGGATTAGGTGGTTTATGGGTTGTAGAGAGACCCATCCATCTCATGTGCTTGATACAACTTTTGTCAGCACCACACCATACTTTAATTATTTTAATAATATAATAGTAGTCATTACACATTCCAACACACACACACATATACATACATACATACATACATACATACATATATATATATATATAATATTAGTAAAGTTTGGTTTGGGGATACCGAATTATTTCAAAGTGTGAGATCGAATCTCATACCAAATAATTCAGGATCGGTTTAGTTTCGGTACCAAAATTTTCGGTATTTTTTATTCGATATTTTTTCGGTTTGATTTCGGTATAGTTTGAGATTTTCGGTATTTTTTTTTCAGCCCTAATTTTGATGCATGGTTTTGACATGCCTTAGATTGTTAACAATATATATAATTTGGCAAAGCTTTCAAGGCTTTTCGTTCTAGTTGTCATAGATCAAAGTTTGTACGCCGGTTGAGTTGTGACCAGGGCTAGCTTCAAGATCAACCCCAGGTCCCCAACCCTGGCTAGTGATTGCTTTTCCATTCCCGCGTTTTTATAATCCGCCTAATTATTTCCCAATAGAGATAAAATCATTGTTGCCCATGAAAACTGGGGACATTTTTTACTGTTGTCAGAATGTCAAGCTTGCTTCCCTCATCGTCATCCAAATAGAGGGAAATAGTATCACTGAAAAAATAATAATTCTGTTCTAAAATCTTTTAATTGTTCTTTTATTATTATCAATAACATGTTCGCTTATTTTATTTTTATTACAATTAGATTTCTTAGACCATCTCTAATAATTGGGCTAAAAGTCAAATTTTTTAGCCCGAAAAATTTAGCTTTTAGCCCAAAAATAGTTTTTCTATTCCAACCATTCTACCCTAAAATTTTACCCCGAGATTATTAAAGAATGAATTTAGGCTATTTTTTTTGTTAAATTAAATTTTTTTTTTTAAAAATATGTAGACTATCGTAAATTAATTTTATGAACATTTTAATCTAAAAAAATATAAATTCCGATAAATATTGGGTCGAGTCCATCCCGATTTCTGGGCTAAATTTCGGGGGGAATTTGGCATCTGTTTAGCATTTAGCATTTAGCTCAAAATTTCCCCTTAGGTTGGAGTGCGTTTGGGGGGGAAATTTTGGAGGGTAATTTGGCTTTTAGCCCACCATTGAAGTTGGTCTTAGTGGTGTCATATTTTGTGAATAATAAAATTTAGAACAAACGACATTAAATATCTCTCAAATAAAGTTATATGGGAAATACCTTCATAGAACAACCCTATACATGTCTGACTTATCATGCTTGAATTTGTTGAAAAATTGAAAGTAAGATTTCGTTGCTATTGTTTTAGATCATTAACGAGATTTGGACATGAATTTTTGGGTTGTTAGTCGTGTGATGGATTAGGTTTGGTTGTTATAAGTTGGCATGAAGTTTTGGCCGCTATTGTTAAACTCAACTTTGAACTTAAATTGGTTCTATAAGTTCACCCCAAAAGGTATTGTTCTATAATGTTGAGAGTATTAATCTTACATTAGAAAAAGAAGGGATTTTTGTAGAGGTTTATAAGTAGTTAGGCTACTTCCCATATTGTTAATTGGTTTTATGGTGGAACCTCAACTTTTCTTATTGTATCAAGGCAGTTTGTCCCATGTTTGAAGCTCAAAGGCCACACGTGCTCTATGTCATCCGATTTGTGCTGTCAACGTACTATGCTTGAAAATTTGTCATAGTGAGGGGCTTGTTGGGTATTATTCTCACATTAGGAAGAGAAGGAACTTGGCATATGCTTGTAGTTGGATGACTCCTTATAGTATCAATTGGTTTTATGGCATTGCCTACATCCATAGCCATTGAAAGTTAACAGACAAAAAAAAAAAAAAAAAAAACAAAACCACATATAGGGTAGTTTCGAGTTTGTGGTTATATTAGGAATGTTCATTAAGATAGATTTCATTTTCTTTCCTTTTAAGAGAGTTATATTAGGAGAGAGAGGGGCTATAAAAATAGCTTTATTTTTATTTTTTATTTGAGCGTGCGAAAGGGGGTAGTTAAACTATCTAATTAAGCTAGTGAAAAGCAATGAGCCACGTCCACCCCCCTCCCACATTTTCAGTCATGCATTACCACCTTTCTGAAATTCTGTTTGAAAGGTTTGTTGCCACACAAATATAAATACGTGCTTCATGGCAAGCTTATGACTTTGTGAGCCGAGAAAACATTGCAAAAAAACCTTCACAGCATCTTTCAAATTTGTTTTGCTCAGGCAATCCATCGAAATATCCAGAAGACATATACGAAATGCATGCGCATGAGAGAGTGCAAAACATTGCTTCAATATCCAAGGACGAAATCCCGGCGGAGTTCATTAGGTCAGAGAATGAGCAACCAGGAATCACAACCGTACATGGGACAACCCTGGAGTGCCCTACCATTGATTTTAGCATCCAGGACGATGAAAAGATCCTCAACCAAATTGTCGAGGCAAGCCGTGACTGGGGCATGTACCAAATTGTGAACCATGACATTCCCAATGAGGCCATAAAAAAGTTGCAAGAGGTGGGGAGGACATTTTTTGAGCTTCCACAAGAGGAAAAGGAGCTTTATGCTAAGCCTCCAGATTCCAAGTCTGTGGAAGGGTACGGGACACGGCTTCAGAAGGAACTGGAAGGCAAGAAAGGGTGGGTGGACCATTTATTTCATAGGGTTTGGCCTCCTTCTGCCATTAACTACCAGTTCTGGCCTAAAAGCCCTCCTTCTTACAGGTTAGTCGACTCACTTTATTTTGAGCAGTAATATGGTATTCTAGGTCTTGTCAAACCTCTCCTAGCTCTGAGCTGGTGAGTTTGCTTGAATGTAGCCACGAGCAGGATGAAATTACCTATATAAAAAAAAAAAGTAAGTACAAAGAAAGAAAAATAAAGTGACATGCTACACGTCTATTTTTTTTTTCTTCTCTCTTTCAAAAAGGGACTAGTTGGTGCATATGCCATGACAGTCCATCCTTATAGGGCTGAGAAGCCTCACTGAGACATTTTAGCCTCCTTGTGACCATCATCGTGTGAGCTATATGTTTTTCTTTAACACAATGATCTATTTACACCACAATATTATGATTATAATCTACATTCTCTACTTTGTAATATGTAAAATAATACAACACAATACTTAATTTGCGTAAGAAATTACATTTTAGGATTTAGCGATACATATACAGGATCACATTTGTAAATCACGTAATTAATTGGCTTAGGAAAAAGAAAAGGGAAATTTTAGTTGAACAAACATAACCTCTTTTTACACCCAACTTAAATTTTAAATGTTGATAGTCATTTTTATCATATTGTATAATTACCATAAAATACAATATAAAATTAACAATGAAACTTAAATTTATCAATAAACTCACACCCTATAATTAAACCCACCATCACTCCTTGTTTATTCTAAGCTCAATCCGGCTAAAACACTAATAACTCTTATAGAGAAAAACAAGCTTTTTTTTTTAATCGATAGATGGTGCTTTTGAAGTTTTAAATACTCCAACTAAGGTATAAATCAATTTATGAAAAAAAAAAAAAAATTTAATTTCAATTTTTTAGAGTTTAGAAGATTAGTATTTGGGTTTCATTTTTTTTTTTCGTCAATCCAGGTTGCACATAGTTTGTTAAACATTCTATGGGAAATACTGCAAATGTTATAAAAGATGTTGCAGACACCAAATTTACTTGATACGAAATCCTGTTTTGCAACAATCGCAATGAAAGTATTAATAATTTGTTGCAGACACCAAATTTCTTGGATACTAAACCTTTTATATGGAAAGTAGAAGTATTAATAATTTGTTTGGCATATTAGAAAGAAAAAAACTGTTTCTTTGCCATTACAATTTGTTGCCGTACTAGTTTGTCCTCCCATATTAAGCATGCATTAGTTACCATGCTATCATTGACCTTTCATGAATAAGTTGATAGCCCATGAAAATTGAGGGGTCTTTGCTTTACTAGGAAGATAATACAAAAAAGATCAAATAAGATGCACACATAGGAGATGCCATAGTGTTGTAAAAAAGCTCCAGTTGGAAATTTGAAACTTAACGAAAAAATCAAATAAGATGCAGTGAAGTAATTGATAGAAAAATTCAGAGAGAAATTTCGAAAAGCTCAATCACTAGCTAAAAGCTTAAGAGGAGACAAGGGCTAAAAACTTTGTTTCAAAGAGCTCAAGGTGGGAGGGGAGACAAAGGACCCAAAATATTTTTTATTTTGAGTTTCTTTGAATACACAACTTTTAAAGCAACTTCTTCTGCTCAGAAAATCTATTATTCCTACATGCAAATAAAATCACAGGTACATGAATATCAAGAAAGCAAGGAAGATTCATAAACAAGTAGAAACTTCACCAAATTATTTAATTTTAGATTTTATTTTCTAAATGGGTGTAAAGATAAATTTACATTTTTAATTGAGTTTGGGAGGGTAATTTAGGTAATAACTTTGGGTTTAAAGAGATATTAATTCTTTAATTAAAAAAAATAAGGGTTTAAAGAGTAAGTTGGGTTTAGAAAGAGGTTACATGGGTTTAAATAAAATTTCTCAAAAGAAAATTCTCACATCTAGTGGACCCAAAACAAAAACAAAAAAACAAAAAAAAAAAAAAAAAAAAAAAAAAAAAAAAAGAAAGAAAAAAGCCTCCCTCCATCCACATAACTGCCATTAAAATATGCGTAAGCAGCTAGTTTCATTAGTTAACATTTAGCCCATAAATTTAAGCATTATGGCACCATAATTTGGATGGACTAAATTTACAAGAAGCGATTTTGGTAACACCAGTAAATGTGATACAGAAGATAAAAATATTTTTTTTTTGTCACATGATAGATTGGCTCAACACTTTTCATCACTGTGGTAAATGATCACTTGCCAGAAGATAAAAATATTAATTTGAATATAGATCCATAAATTTGATACAGAACATAAAAATATTAAATTGAATATAAGTTTGAATATAGATCCAATACACTAGAAATGAATTTAAAACAGGGGTTTTTGAACTTTAGTCCTTGAAGAAGATTAAAATTTAATAAAATTCTAGTGTTAGATTACATATTGATTTTATTCCCTTAATGTGTACTTAATTCAATTTTGTATTACATTTGGTTTTTTATATCAGCACCCCACAAAATGTTGAATGCACCCCATATTAAAATTTAATATTAAATGACTTATTTACCCTACTATATAATGACAATTTTGACCTTATTAGGTTTTTAAAAAAAAAAATTTATATACACCCCAAATCACTTTTAACGTATTATTTATCTTCTTCAACTATCAAAACTCTTCCGACCCTCCATTGTTGAACAAAACCCTAACTAATGAAACTACAAACATGTTGATTGAGAAAAATTATTTTTGATGAATGAAACACGAAATCAATGTTTTGGAAGCTTCACTTGAGGTAAGACTTCATATTTTTTATTATTTTAGTGATTTTGACGACATCGATAATTATTTAATCTTGCTTTTGATGTGTTATTCAAGCTTCTATGTTCGTATTCATCTTTTAGGATCACATGGATTACATGAAGAATTAAACACCAAAAATTACCACCAAATATTAAAAACAGACGATATGTGTTTTAATGGTGGAATTAAAAACAACCCACATATGCTTTAAATCCCAGGCGGCATTTTTTGTCCAAATTAAAAGCTTTATAAGATTTGAGAAATATGGGGTGTATAGAAAATATGGGGGTGTATGTAGAAAATGTAAGTTGTATATTAAGAATGTGGGGTGTGAGGGTATTATGGGGAAATATGTATCGTGTATTAAGATAATTTTTAATTGAAAAACCAAATGTGGGGTGTATTAAGTTGTGGGGTTTATTCAACAATTTGTGGGGTGTTAATAAAATAAGCCTTACATTTTTGTTTGAATATTTATAGATATCTTATTTAATGTCTCCACATTAAATTTTAAATTTATTATTAGACATATTTTAATTCATTAATTTTGTTTAACTTCCCTCTAGTTAGTGTACCAAAATGTCCGTATCATAATATATTTTCCTGAACTAGTGTACCGAAATGTCGGTACCTAAATATTTTGTTATTAATTAGTGGCACATAAAAAAATATGCAAAAACATAAGTGTATTGAAAAATCCGTACGTAAACATATTATACTAAACTAGTGTACCAAAATGTCTATACCTAAATATATTATACTAAACTAGAGTACCAAAATGTCCGTACCTAAACATGTTATGCTAAACTAGTGTATTTAAATGTTCATACCTAAATATACTGTAATGAATTAGTGGCCCATAAGAAAATATGCAAAAACATAAGTGTACCGAAAAGTCTCTACCAAAATATTTCCTTATATAAGATACTTACCATTAACTGGTGATGGAAAATGTCAACAAATAAAAACTAATTCATTTGAATTTCAAGTATTAAAATTTACAATATTTTCATAAAATTTAATTCATGGACACAATAAAATTATATAAAAAAAAAAGAGACATTGAATGTGTATCGTGGCATTAAAAGAGTCTTGGGACTAAAATTCATTTTTAATCTTCTAAAAGACATTTTTCTAAATCCATCCTCTTAATGTAGATAATATCGTTTGTTCAAAATAAAAAATCTTTGCGTATATATAAGAATATAGTTTTACAAAAGAGCACTAATGTGAATTAGAAATGGTTGTTCAAATTAATGTTGATGGGTGCAGGGAGGCCAGTGAGGAGTATGTCAATCATCTCCACAAGGTGGTGGACAAGTTGTTCAAGATGCTATCTTTAGGGTTGGGGATTGAAGGACACGAGTTAAAGAAGGCTGCTGGTGGGGATGACTTGGTTTACCTTCTAAAAATAAATTATTACCCACCATGTCCCCGCCCTGACCTTGCTCTTGGGGTTGTGGCTCATACTGACATGTCAGCACTCACCATTCTTGTTCCCAACGATGTTCAAGGCCTCCAAGCATGCAGGGACGGCCATTGGTACGATGTTAAGTACATCCCTAATGCCCTTGTCATCCACATTGGTGATCAAATGGAGGTATACATTTCTCTAGCTCATCTCTCTCTGATTAAAAATTTATTTAAGAAATTTCATCTCGCTCAAGAGTGTTAGGTGTTATGTTTCCGAACATTCTATGTGTATAATCAATCCTATAAAAGAAGCTCCATACTTTGCAACCCATTTACTTATACATGCACATTATTTGTTAATCCTCCTTGTCATGCATCGACGTTCATTAATCATACTTCTAAGCAATTTCATGTTTATTGAAGAGTCTTACTTGTTATGTTGCCAAACATTCAATGTCTACAATAACTAATCCTATAAAAGATGATGCATACTTTTAAGCAACCCATCTGCTTATAGTATGCAATGTATTCAGTATAAGCTACTTTTTGAGCTACCCATGCACCATTTAGTTTTTAGAAAAAGCAGACTTTAGTCACCTTAGGGATTTCAGGATAAAATAAATAAATAAATCAGTAAATGTAAAACTTCCATCAAAGCATTGAGGAATTTTTTTAAAATATATACCACATATAAAGGAGAGTACTTGTCAGAAAATTGTATTATTGTCATCATCTTTTAAATTAGATGTTAAATTCTATATTGAACCCTAATGCTAGATTAGATTTTGGTTGCAAGCCAGAGCATGTGCATTATTTAAAAAGGGTATGTAGACATCATCATCCTCTTTTGTTAATGAAACTTATAAAATGATAAACAATTTGATGGTAGATAATGAGCAATGGAAGGTACAAAAGTGTGCTGCATAGAACGACGGTGAATAAAGAGAAAGCAAGACTCTCGTGGCCAGTTTTCTTGGAGCCTCCACAGGAGCACGTAGTAGGGCCTCTCTCACAGCTTGTGAACGACGAGAATCCACCTAAGTACAAGTCCAAGAAGTTTGGCGAGTATTGTTACTGCAAGCTCAACAAGATTCCACAGTAAATTTTAAAGGCAACTCTCTCTGACTATGAGAGCCCAACAAACTTTACATGCACTTCTAGTTATTATTTTAATTTGCGTACAAGGATGTTAGTATAGTTAACTCTTTTCAACTGTACGTCAAAGTTGAAATAATATTTATTGGATAATTATCAACAATCAATTACAATTTATATATGCTAATAAATAATAAATAATAAATGCGAACAGATAATTTAATAGAATATGAACTCAACGAATTAATATTTAAATAAACAAAACTGAAGATGGAGACTTGCATACCGCAATTTCCTTGAAACAAAACTTTCGTCCGACAGCAATTGCGGCAACAATCTAGAGGGAAATCTTGCGTTGGCTGTAGTTAGACGGACGAAGTACTTTTAAGTCGATGAAAGGTCGGTGATCGTATAAAACATAATATTTAATTTCAAAAAATTATTGAACTATTGATCGATGACAACTTTGTTGGTTAAAATATTTACTCTCGACGGCCACACTAGTCAAAAAAGTATTAAAAAACTTAATATTTATTACGTTTTCGTCGGTTTAGCATAATTTTAGTAAACGGCATTGTTCGTCGAGTAAAATTTAATTAAATTAAAAAAACAAATTAATTAACCAAACATTAATTAATTTGTTTATTTTTTTTAATTTCCTTTAATCAAACATTATTAGATGAGCTTAGCAAAAAAAAATTATTATATCAATATTAAAATATTTAACAAATTTAATAGTCCTAAAAAAGTCCCATAAAAATAAAAAATAAAAACACTTATAAATTCTAAAAATGTCCACATAGCCACTCCCACTGGTTCCTCCTATTATAAAGTTCATCGGGTAGATAGTTTTGTCACATTCTAGCCTGGGTGGGAACATTTTCCGGGCCCGACTTTACCGTAGCACGATGTTGTCCGATTTAGGCCCCTAGCACACCCTCACGGTTTTGTTTCTGGGAACTCACACAAGAACTTCCCAATGGGTCACCCATCCTAGGAATGCTCTCGCACGCTACTCCCTTAACTTCGGAGTTCCTACGGAACCCGAAGCCAGTGAGCTCCCAAAAGGTCTCGTGCTAGGTAGAGATAGGAATATACATATAAGGATCACTCCCCTGGGCGATGTGGGATGTCACAATCCACCCCCTTAGGGGCCCGACGTCCTCGTTGACACACACTCGACCAGGGTTAGGCTCTGATACCAAATTGTTACATCCCGGCCAAGGCGGGACCACTTCCTGGGCCCGACTCCACCGTAGCACTATATTGTCCGCTTTGAGCCCCCAGCACGCCCTCACGATTTTGTTTCTGGGAACTCACACGAGAATTTCCCAGTGGGTCACCCATCATGGGATTGATCTCGTGCGCTACTCACTTAACTTCGGAGTTCCCATGGAACCTGAAGCCAGTGAGCTCTCAAAAAACCTCGTGCTAGGTAGGGATGGGAATATACATATAATGCTTACACTCCTCGGTGATGTGGGATGTCACAAATTTAGAGTTTCTTCATGACTTCTATAATCAAAATAGTAGGTGCTTGACTCAAATAACCACTCTTTGAATTATATCGTCCACAGCCGATCAATATAATAAAACATAAGCAGTTTATCAAAGTCAATATTGAATTCGGTCTGAAATAGACAAAAAAATAAATGTTACTTATAAAAAACAATAAATTAGTAATTATATATAATAATTAAGTTTAATAAAAATATGGGACACTTTGGATGCGGTCCCTAACTATCAATGTTATTTGACTAAAACCTTTGTGATTTTTAGTTTTTTGTCTAAGTCCCTAACATTAATGTAATAATGTATTTATTTTATTTTTAAACTAAAAATGAAATTTGTAGCTATTTATATTAATAAGATTTTAAATAAAACGCATAATTTATGGGATTAAAAATATTAAAGATAAATTATACTCTCCAATATATTATGTGTATACATGGGTACGTTCATAAAAACCTAACTAAAAAATTATTTTACCAATACATGGGTACATTTTTCAAAAACACAAAACCAAAAAAAAAATAATAATAATAAATAAATAAATAAATAAATAAAGATATTAGGCTTAATAATTATTAAGCATTTCTTCTATTAAACTTGACATGGATTAGAGAAAATATTAAATGTACCCATATAAGTTTAAAAAATGGATTAGAGAAAATATTAAATGAATTTTATATAAAAAATGGGTACATTTTATATTTAAAAAAGGTACATTTTCATATAAAAAATAGTATATTTAAGAATGGGTACGTATCATTTTTATATAAAAATTTAATGGGTACAAACTTATTCTAATTTTAATTTTTATATTTTGAAAATGTTTGAATTGAAATTAATTAGGAGTTTAATAAGGGTGTGAGTATTAAAACTCTAAATCTGTCACATCCCGGCCCGGGACGGATCACTTCCCGAGCCCGTTCCACCACCGTAGCACGATATTATCCGCTTTGGGCTTACCATTCCCCCACGGTTTTGTTTTTGGGCACTTATGAGCAACTTCCCAGTGGGTCACCCATCATGGGATTGCTCTAGCCCTCTTCTCGCTTAACTTCGGAGTTCCTACGGAATCCGAAGCCAGTGAGCTCCCAAAAGGCCTCGTGCTAGGTAGAGTCGGGAATTTACATATAAGGATCACTCCCCTGGGCGATGTGGGATGTCACAATCCACCCTCTTTAGGGGCCCGACGTCCTCGTCGCCACACCACGACCAGGGTTAGGCTCTGATACCAAATTGTCACATCCCGGCCCGGGACGGATCACTTCCCGGGCCCACTCTACCACCGTAGCATGATATTGTCCACTTTGGGCATACCATTCCCTCACGGTTTTGTTTTTGGGAACTCACGAGCAACTTCCCAGTGGGTCACCCATCATGGGATTGCTCTAGCCCTCTTCTCGCTTAACTTCGGAGTTCCTACAGAATCCGAAGCCAGTGAGCTCCCAAAAGGCCTCGCGCTAGGTAGAGATGAGAATATACATATAAGAATCACTCCCTTGGGCGATGTGGGATGTCACAAAATCAATTACTAATTTTTACTATAAAAATTATGTAACTTACATGTAATTCATTAATATATTAATGCTAAGGACTTTGATCAAAATCTAAAAACTAATAAGGTTTTAGTCAATGAACATTAGAAACTAGGGACCGGATACTAATTTTTCCTAAAAAAAAAAAAAAAAACGGTTTTACATATTTCTAACTGACGCACATGAATCATGGTGCGAGAGAAGTAATATACTTAGGTACCCAAACTCCATAGGACTTGATCTCTTCGTGACATTAGAAATTGAAAAACCAAGATACACCCCTAAGTGTTCCCAATTTTTCTGTCTTACGAGGGCATTCGGAGTAATACAAACTAAGATACATTAATGGGGGTGTTTGCCCAACGAAAAATTGAAAGGTATTTGGATGATTTACGTGGAAATTAAAGAAAGGAGGAATAATAAATTTTGGGGTGGGTAACCGGAATATATGGCATGACCTTACACTTACATCCTTGAAAGTTCAGAAATAGTAACCTAAATTTGGTAGGAAAAAAAAAAAAAAAAAAAGGGATTGCTAAAAAGACTAAATTCGTACACTAAATTTTGTACAAGATAGACAACATTGCCCAAACCAAAAGCCTAACTACCTCAAAACTAGGCCTGGCAATTCCTGACACGACCCGATAACCCGACACGACACGATACGAAATTAACAGGTGTTCGGATCGACACGAGAACGAATCGGGTCATTATCGGGTAACCCGATAAGCACCTGTTAAGATAACGGGTTGATTCGGATATACACGTGGGTAACACGATACACGATAAGCAGAATATTATTTTTATAATTTTATAACCCTAAAAAAATACTGTAATAATTATATATATTAATTTAACAATTTTATACCCCTAAAAACTATAATAAATATATATATATATATATATTAAATTAACTATAATAATTATACCCCAAAATATTAACTATCTATAATAATTATATATATATATATATATTAAATTTTGAATTAAATTGTATAAAAACTATAATAATTATTAATTAATATGCATCCATTGATTTGATTCCATAATTGATAATTTCATTCCATTCCTTGCAGTGCCGCCTTTTTTGAAGAAAAAGGGAGGGAAAATGAAAATGATAAGAAAAGTTGAAAAGGAAACAAAAAAGAGAGGGAATTAGGGAAAGATGGGTAAACACCATAGGCTGCCGGAGGGAAAAGTGAAAATTATAAGAAAAGTTGAAAAGGAAACAAAAAAGAGAGGGAAAAATGAAAATTAATGGAAGTGGTGAGAATTTTTTTTTATTTTTTTTTTTAAGTTATTAACTTTTTATCACACATATAACATATCTCACTATTTTTATCATGACTCACATAATGTATTATTCCGTGTACCAATCAATTATACGTACAAAATAAATACATTTAAATCTACTTAATAAATATACACACACACACACACACACACACACCCCATTGAACTTGATGGGATACGAATTCTCCGAAACTAATTTCAACGATCCCAACCGTCAAACTTGTTTGTATATGCTTTGAGATCATATCAGCAAAAAATCACAAAAAACAAACATTCAGAGATCAAGTAAAGGAACAAAGCTTTTCGACAGTTATAAACGAAAAATCATGATTTAACGGTTATTTTGACTCTGATTTGATGATTTTTTACAGCTACACTCCTTGACCCTATATGAATACAATGAATGAATTCGATCTTCAATTTAAAATATTTACACAAGTGAATACCACAAAATCTTATGTTATACTTAATTAAAGTATAAATAAACTCTAAGTGTTAGTCAATCTATTGTTTTGATAGGATACGAATTATCTTAAACTAATTTCAACGATCCCAACCATCAAACATGTTTGTATATGCTTCAAGATCACATCAGCAAAAAATCACAAAAAACAAAAATTCAGAGATCAAGTAATGGGACAAAGCTTTTCGACGGTTATAAATGAAAAATCACGATTTAACGGTTATTTTAAATCCGATTTTGATGATTTTTTACAACTACACTCCTTGACCCTATATGAATACAATGAACGAATTCGATCTTCAATTTAAAATATTTACACAAGTGGATACCATAAAATGTTATATTATACTTAATGAATATAAATAAACTCTAAGTGTTAGTCAATT